AGTAAGATCATCACACCATCATTCTCAACAGATTGGGCAGAAGAAACAAATGGAGCTGTAAATATGTATAAAGCACAGCAAGCTTCTTTTATGAACTGCTCACATCCAACGTTTAATTTCATTCCAAAACAAACAATACCTAAGAGCTTTGGAGGCAGAACATGATCTCAAAGAACAAGAACAATAGATTCTGTGTCACAGAAAAACTGAGACGTTGATATTTATTCAAAATAGCTCAGGGTAGCCTCAAAGTTCACCTGTTCCGTTATCTCCAACAGTATACAGTATAAGCATGTGTAGTTAGTAAGATTACAGATGCAGAATTAAAATTATAGCTATGTCTTATGATTTGCTTCCAGAACTTAGTATTTATCAATATACGCATCTGCTAACATTTATCAGCTAACTTTAAAGCTGTAGCCTTTTCCGAATGCATACTTACTCAGAGTTATATCCCTTTTAGATATACTTGGAGGAGATGGACTATCCACACACATTCCAGTCAAGTTTCCTATCTAGTTTGGCAGCAAGAATACAGCTTTGAGAGATTTCTGCTTTGCCTCATGGATGCTAGGCTGTGAAGTTCCACAGGGGACCAATCTGTCACTCTTGTTGCTTTAATATCTATATGAAGCGTCTGAGCAAGGTCACCAGAATATTTGGAGTTGGATGTCTTCAGCATGGGTGACATTCAGTTTTCTCCCTGTCATAATTATCCCAAAACATTAGAGCTGTGGTGGTGCAGTGGTTAGAATGCAGTATTGCAGGCTAACTCTGCCCACTGCCAGCAATTCGATTCTCACTGGCTCAAGGTTGACTCAGCCTTTCATCCTTCTGAGGTTGGTAAAATGAGGACCCAGATTGTTGGGGACAATATGCTGACTCTATAAACTGCTTAGAGAGGGCTGTAAAGCCCTGTGAAGTGGTATGTAAGTCTAAGTCACCGGTGTCAAACTTGCTGCGTCACGTGACATGTCACGACATATCGTGACTTTTTTTGCATTGCTGGAGCTGGGGTGGGCGTGGCCTCTGTATGATGCAACCGGCCCGTGGGCCGGCAGCTTGACACTCCTGGTCTAAGTGCTATTGCTATTTATTTCAGAAAGACTGAGAAGATTAGGGAAGGGTGATTAGAGACTCTGAATATCAGATAAACCATTTTTGTTACTTAAAGGATTTTGGGAGAAAAATAAAATGGAAGATAAGGTGGAAAGATATGAAAGACGACAGAGTGAAAGTGGAATGACTGCAGGAAGAGAATGCACAAGACTTGTATGAAAACATATTGTACATCAGACTCAGCCTTACTGAATGTGAAGAAAGATGTTGAAGGATCTTAGAACAAAGTGTAAAGAATGAAGTTACAGAGTGCCATACAAGTGTGTAGTTATGCTAATGGTAAGCATAAAAAGGTACTTGATAGAATGAACTGAAGAAAAATTGATACAAGAAAATGCTGCGAAGAATGAAAATATATAACGTACAGTGGGAAAGATACTTCTGTGAAGAGGATGACAAGAAGCCTCCAGCAAGCGAATGGAATTAAAATGGAATTAAAATGATTTGGAATGAAACTGAAATGATGGTAAGCTGGAAAGAACATTTTAGAGATTTGAAAGAGCGCGATAGTAAGAAACACTATAAATGTTAATGTTCCAGGAAAAAATGCTGAGAAAGATTTAATAAATGTTTGACTCTTGAGTAATGGCAAAGCTGCAGAAGTAGATGTTATAACTGGGGAAAAGTTTAAATACAAATAAGATTTGGTTAAGAAGCAGCAATGCTACTTCGTGTGTGAAGTGTGAAGGCTGCATCCTTAGCAGATAGTTTGAAGAACTCTGGCAAAGTTCCAAAATTTGGACTGGAAAGGTACAAGGAGCAGTTATGAGTAAAATGTTGCAAATACAATACGACTTTAACCTGGGCTGGTGTGTAAACCAGGTCATTGAGAAATATATGATTGTGAGAAAGGTTTATGTTTATTGAATAAAGTGAAGAGACTTGAATCTTGGAATGCTTTGTGCAAGTATGGAGTTGAAGGTTGGTTACTAAATTCAGAAACAATGACAGATACTGAAAACTTCCATGTGAATAAATGACATACTTAGAGAGGATGGTTCAAAACTGAGAACAGGGAATAATAATGTGCAATGTATTATATATTTATGGATGAGTAAGAAATGCATGTGGCTGAATAAATTAAAAGTGAGTGCACTTTTGGGATTTTAATGTTACAATTTTAGCGTTACAAGCTACCTGAAAAGGGTGAAATATTTGCTTAAAATTGTAATTTTGCATTATTTTGGAGGGTTAGAGAATAATGATCAGATTGTTTGCTTTTCTTCTCATCTTGAAATCCCTAACAATACATAAAAATGCTCTCCCCCTTACGTCATCCCTACTCTTTTCAATCAGATTCTCCTGTGACCCTAAGAAGGTCATTGGCAGAATTTAGAGCAGGGGTCCCCAACCCCCGGTCCGTGGCCTGGCACCAGTCTGTGGCATGCCAGAAACTAGTCTTTGCAAACAAGTGAAGCCCCATCTGCAGGATGCAGGCAGTACATAAAACCACGCCCCCTCCAGTCCGCGAAAAAACCTCTCTCCACGGAACCGGTCCCTGGTGCCCAAAAGGTTGGGGACCTGTGGTTTAGAGTTTAGAGTTCCCTGTCCTTCAGTGTCTGCTTTAATTCTTCCATCTCCAAATTCTGGTGAAGAAAGGTTACTTGGAAGGAATAGGTCATTCTCCAGCATTCCACCAAAGAATTTCATTGATCAGTTGCAAAGAATCAAGAGTCACTTACAATTTAATTTTTTTTAATGACTTAGACTATTGATGTTACAATGTTTTTATAAAACTAATGTTTGAAATTAAAACTAATGTTTGAAATTAAATCGGCATTTCCGTCATAAACAAAAGTTTACCCAATAAACTATACACATAGCAAATCCAACATGCACAGACATATTCACACACACACATACATCTCCCTATCACTTAAAAGTTTGCATATAATTACAAATACTGCTAGTGTGCAGCTAAAATATGCTTGCATATTTTGAACCTCAGAAATAAATAAATATATACAAAGGAAGTTAAACTTTGCTGATAAGAAAATCAAAGATTTATACAGAAAGATGATATGATAAAAGAAGAGCACTGGAAAAACTATCTGAAATAATTTTTAAGGATTACTACATGGTAGTAAATGCAAAGAATATTCTTATTTGGCAAAAATATAGGCATATTTCACATTAATCTGGTCAGAAAAAACCATCTTAAGGGAAAACAAAACTATTACAATTTTCCTAATGAAAAGTAAAGCCCTATTTACCATTTTAATATTATTTACTTCCAATTACCATATACAGAAATACATTTTCCCTTCTCATTTTGAATATTTTTATCCAAAATAAATGTTACATAAGCTATTTTCTGAAATCTATTAAGAAACATAAACTTACTAATTTTTTAGAAAGCACATATGAACAAAACATTCTTAGTAAAGCTGTTTGATCCCATCAGACTCTGATATAATTTGATGTCATAAGGAATCATTCACTCATATTAAGTTAAATTCTTAACCTGTGATAAATAATTCCTTTTAGGAATTATAAAACAAATTTAAATAGTTTGAAGTCAAGCAACTTTAGTGTAATAGAGCAACTTAATTTGACAATTCTGATGGTGCAAATTAATAAATTGTAGTTGTTAAACCGCTATAATACAGACAAAGTTGAAATGTATTTTGAAAATAAACATGCAGAAATTATTTTCATAGAAATAGGGAGGGAATCCTATGATTTGTTTGTGGTCAAATTTGCAGTTGTAATTCTGTACTAATTTTCCTTAAAGTAAGCCCCCTTGTATTCAGTTGGAATTACTTCTAAGAAGACATACTGGAGATTATGCTATATATTACTGGGAGATTAAATAAAGTAGCACACACAGGAAGTTATTAAAGAATTGAGCAAGTGACAAAATTGTTTTATAATTAGCATATCATTTTTTTGATACTTGGAGCGTTTATTTCAACTAATTTCATCCAAAGAGAATTTATATTTGTAAACAATGAATATAACACCCTTCTACTTTAAAGATGAGGCATACTGACTTTAGTAAATCTAAATATACTGTAGGTGCTACAGAATATATAATTATTATAATCTGTAATTCAAAATACTGTATGAAGGGATGAATAGATGGAATTACCACTATGCTTACATATGAGTATCTCAGTTGTTTCAGCAGCTGTGTGTATCTGAATTTATAAAGATTTCTTCTTAGGTATATTTCAATACACATCTTGGAAAAAGACTATTTGGGGAAAAGGTGTAAGAATTGATAGCATCTTGATTTGCACAGGTTAATAAACATTGCTCTTAAGGCATAAATCAATGGAAAACCTCCATGTTCCAGGCTGCAATTCCACCTATCTAAGGATGTGAAAATAAAGCAAATTAGGAAAAACTGATGGAAGTTTATTTATAATATTGGGTTGATTCAGAATTTCTATTCTTTGATCATGATAAAGATGCATAGCTACCGTGATATATTCAACTGCTCACTTTCTTTTGGTCTATAACTAGGCAAACTTTCAAGTTAACATAAAACACTTTGTTAAGCTCTCCCAATATCAAAGAAGCACACTTTAATACAAGGGTCTTCAAACTTGGCCCTTTTATGACTTATGGACTTCAACTCCCAGAATTCCTCAGTCAGGCATGCTGGCTGAGGAATTTTGGGAGTTGAAGTCCACAAGTCATAAAAGGGCCAAGTTTGAAGACCCCTGCTTTAATACTTCTGCCATTAAAAAATAACAAAATAATAAATATGGCCCAGAGTTTGCAAGCAAGAATTAAGATCAAGAGTACAATAATCTTTGAAACACTTTTGATTTCTGTAATCAAGCACAAAAAAATTATAAATTCACTAAAAATAGCTTTTCCTTGCCTCGTCCGTAGGAAAAAAAAATCTATAAAATCTCCCATGACTTCTCTAGCATTGCACAAGCAGACTTCTGCTTATGCCACAAGCAGAATAGGCTATCATCCCTTTTTACAGAGTAGATTTGGTTATATGAAACAAGGGGATCCATTATACCTGTGAAGATGCACAATTGGATAGCTTTCCCTGTGTAAGGCTACATATACAGACAGACAGACACACACAGAGAAGAACACTTGGGTTGATGTAACATCTTAATAGCATGGTTTGAAAATGTATTTGGAAGCTACAAGCTTTAGTTTTGGGCTTTTCAAGTTTCTTAATTTTGCAAGATTATAGATGGGATTAATAAACATGTCACTGATAGATGCTTGAGAACTGTTGATGAGAGAACTGTGTCAGTGGAGAGAATTAATTAGATGTTCTGTTTCTCCAAGTATAGATACAGGTAGCTGAACAACTTATATAACTGGATAAAGCACAACACTTTAGCAGAGTCTGTATCTTCAGCCAGTCACCAAGTTCAATACTTAATAATCTTAATAATCTTCATTCTGTTTGTTGACTTCTCTTCTTCCAGATATCCAGATACTCAGAATTTTGTACTGTGGCTCAGGGAGTCTGACATGATCATGTTTCTATAGAAATTGTCTGACTGAGTATTGTAGTAACCTTTCACTTTGTCAATGACTTGGTGAACTGGGATGATTGACGTCTGTTCCATGTCCACTTGGATGTATTTTGTTGAAGGCTTGTCAAGAAAAACATTGTCTGATTAAAAACAAGACAAAACAAAACAGGTCAGTAATTTTGAAAACAAAGTTTACTGCCAAGAGGATGACCTCAGACAACCCCTTAGTACAGTATGCAATAACCTTTTATTTTTGTTCCAAATTCTGATTTTCTTTCTATAATCCATACCATGAATATGTAAGCTGTCAGTCTGATAGTTACAATAGACTTTATATTGCACATTAACAACCGCACATTGAAAGTTTTTCCTTTAATATTTTCTTATAAAATTAAGTCATTTTGAGAAATTTTAACGAGTAAAATGTGTGTGTGTGAGAGAGTGTCTAAAAGGTGCAATGAGTCTTGAAGTCTTAAGATACAAATTTCATCTGTATAATCTGCCTGAAAAATTCAGCCCCACTGATCCTCTCAGAACTGTAAATTAGTAAGGTTGGACTGTATGCACACCACACTTTTGTGCTCCTGATTTATCTAGAAGTACAAATCAAATTTTGCTGCTTTAGCCTTCATGATCTGAAATTTAGCATTAGTTTTCAGTTATTGCATGGCATTTCTAAGCTGACCTACATGGTTACTGAAATAATGGCATCAGCATTATTGAAGCCGTGATATCAAACTGCAGTAATCTGACTCACAATTAAATGCTTTTTGGTATAAGCATTAGTCTGTTTTTGTATTGGGAACATGATCATGATGGTGCTCTACAGAACAGGATTCAGGATAATTTCACACAAACAATCAGCTTTGAATGTATGAACCAATTCAGAATAAGGACAAGAGAAAATACATCTTATTAAGAGTGATGCCAGAAAGGGGAAAGAAGTTCATTTTTTACTACTGAATTGCTGAATGAGGAAATCATAAAATCAATAGTAACGGCTACAGGTTTCATCATTTTTAGACTCAGCTTATTATGTCCTGAAAAAAGATTTTGAGTGTGTTCCTCACTATCAATTTACATTCATATTCCATTTTGTTTATGCACATAGACAGTGTTATCTACATTGAAATAAATGTCAAGCCCATGTGCCAACCCCTGGAGATGCAGAATCTATAGATACAGGTTTTTATTTATTTATCAAATTTAGGCACTGCTCATCTCACTTTCAGAGTGATTCTGCTGCATCTAAAGGTGACATTTCTTCAAACTGTAAAGAACGTACAGAATTGACAATGGAAGTCACAGCTTCATATTTTTTTATAACATGCATCATCTCTCACCCTCTGTTATGCTATGATCATATTGTGTGTTTCCATTTTTTTTCTTTTAATGACCCTGTAATCCCTTGCATCAGGGTGGAGTTGGAACGCCTGAAAGGAGCACAAGCATTTACTGACCAGATGTCCTTCCTAACACCTACACTGAGTTCACAGCAGACAATAACTCATTGCACTCAGAAACAGAAATATCTGCTGCTATGTAGTATTGAACTCACAGCCTCCTGACTGTGAGGTGAGAGCTCCATCTCTAGGCCACCACGCTTCTCACATTGTGTGTTTCCATTATACTGTACAAAATCAGCTGGCATGGCTATTCACAACAAAATATTCCACATCATTATTATGTAACTAGAGATTATTGGCAGAACTGAAATTTACAAATTTACAAAATTAGGAGAAGCAGTTTCCAGCATGCATTCTTTTCAAGGGTACCAAAATGCACTTAATTAATACATTTTTGAAAAAGAAGAATAATGTTTAAATGCATTTTGTGTGAACTGGGTTGTTTTCAATGTAGAGTTTAACCCAGAAAGAAGAATGTGTGGTTAAATATATGTGAAAGTAATATTGACTCATCTCTCATTATTATCTAGAATAAATGGTATTACTTATTATCTAAAAAGAGAAGGAACTTGATAACATATTTTTTTCTACTAAAACTAAGATATATAATTTTGACCTGGGTGAAATAAATGTCTATAACAACACTGACAGAGTTTACTGAATTCCTTTTCAGTAATGCTTAATAGGTAAAATATATTGTTTCAGACACTGGCAGAGCTATACTATGACATAATCAGGATTGACTCAAATATCAACTGAGTTCAGTCAGCTGTGTTCATCCTGGTAACTTCAACCTCAAGCACACCTAGGACAAACTTTTGAGTAAGATACTAACAGAAGGCTAGAAGGTTCAAGACAGTAAGCAGCTTTGCTAATCTAAATGTGACCATTAGATGGTGCTCATATAATGTTCCTCTTCATGTGCAATTAAACACATTATTTTTAAACATATCTAATGAATAGGATTTTACCTGCTGAATTCATTCCACAATTGGTATATGTTACTATTGAATATTGAATATTATATTTATGCAAAAGATTAAATATTCCTTTACCCAAACAAGCAACTACCGTATATAAAATTTAAATTGGTCACAAGTATAAACAAGTATAAACAAGAGGAAAGGATTCCTCAATCTTTTCTTACAATAATGTATAGCTAAAATTAAGATTTAAAATTAGAATTACTTATGAAATGCAAATGAAGAAAATGTAAATTGCACAGGTTTTTTTTAACATGGAAAAAAGCATAGGCATGCTAAAATGTAGCCAGAATTATTATTTTTTTTGCAAACATTCTTATATGGCAAAGCTCATGGTTTACTTTGGTTTTGTTGTACTGTTTTTGAAAAGGTGTAGTTATTTCTTGCATGTTACATTATATATATTTATTCAATATGAATCTGTGATTTAAGGGCTAAAGCAGCTTTCCTACAATATTTAGGGTTTGGGGGTTTAGAAGGAAGTTCAATACGAAGAGATACAACAGAGGTATATGAAATAAGCCATAGCATGAAAAATATAGAAAGGTTTTCCCCTTCAATCTATTGGAACTTGGAATCAGCCATGGAGGTGGAACAGAGTGAATAAGATAGCAAAACAGCATCTTCTGCTGAAATGTGCAAATTTAGAAGCTCATTAACAGCTCATTAACCTGAGGGGTGGATTATAAAATCTTTTTATTCATAAATACAACAGTTACTTACTTAAATAACCACACTTTAATCCATAATCCATGTAGTTCTACAAATGTTGATGAATTGCAATTCCCAGCAGCCTCAGTCACGCTGGCTAATGGTAAGGGATGCTGGATTCTGTAGCTCGGCACCATTAGCAAACAATCTTTCCAAGGAAAGCTTCACTTTCCAAGGAAGACCCATTAATTCTTCCCCATCCCATCATTGGAATGTACTTTCAAGTCTCCAACAAAAGCAAAATCCCTCATCAGTCCTTTAAAAGTTACCTTGGCCAGGTTTGTTGCACATCCTTCCCTTTGATCTTTTAGCCCTAATAATGGCCTCCAATGGGCTCTTTCCAGCTCTCATCTTATGGGAACTTCCAAGCCACCTGTCTAGCCTTCCATGCTACATTGCAGTCCTATTTCTTAGACAGTCTGCTAATTCATGTTCATCTCTGTCATGGCCCCAGGTTATTTGGGATGATGTAATACATTTCTTCTTCCCCTCTTCCTTTAGAGAGGGAATAGCTTTATTCCTCCTAATCCATGTGTGAAATGGGATGGGAGGAATAGAGAACTGCAGTCTTGACTCTTTCTTCCAGTTCTTCTTCTTCAAGCAGGTGGTGAAGGAGGAGCCAAACGGAGGCACTCAGCCTTGCTCATTCATATCCACCACAGAAAAGAATGTATTGCAGCAATTCAGTGGTATGGTGATGTTCCAGTCCTTTCATAAGTTCACCTCTCCCTCACCATCTCCCTCATCAGGCTTTCCCAGCTCCTCCCTTCTTTCTCTCTCCTCCCTCAGCTCAGCTCCCTCTACTCCATCCGGGTAGCTGGAGACTCCTTCGGCTGCTGATGCAAAACAGCTTGACCCACTTTCAGATGCCATCCTCATGACGACTTCTCTTACCCAGATTGAGGAAGGTGGACGGTTCAGGAAGGGGGATGTTTGTAATGCTTGGTCCCTTTCTTGGAGGCTAAAATTGAATGACTGGAGTATGAACATGTGCATGCTGGCTTTTTAAATGGAGAGTACATGGGATTGGGACTCCACAGACAGTGACTTGGCAGGTGCCAAGTCTAAGTCCTCAGAGCTAGACATATTCATGGAGAATAGGATCAACGGCTTAATATATATTACAGTGAGGTTCAAAGGCAGTATGTCAGGGACCAATATTTGAAGAAGACAATTCCCTCATTTCCTACCTATAAGCTTTATGGGATGTCTCTGTTGGTCACTGTATGATAGCTGAATCCAGCAGAATTCATTCTACTTTCTTTAGGTTGGCTAAATATTAAAATAAATGCTGAATCATTTAAACTGTCTGTGTTTACTGCATATTTTAAAAATTTAAGTAGGTTGCTAACTGAAAGCTTTTTCTAATGTTCTGAAAAAAGTTCAGCATCAGAGAATACAGTAATTTCTTGCAGACATTATTATAAATTAGGTGAATCACTTTAATGGTGTTTTTTCATTTTCTTCTTGTCAGCTACTATACCAATTTTAGAGACACCTAACAATATGCATTTTATGAAGCTGTTTCCATTGGATGCTTTACCTCAAACAATCCTGAATGTTTCATTTTTATGCTAACCATAATCAAAAGCACTCTTGTGTACCAAATTATAGTCAGCCAGAATTAACGACAGAGAAAGATGCACAGTATAGAATGAAGCAATGTGTATGATTAGTTAATCTTTTTCTGTTGATTCAAACTTCATGCAAGTGTCCTTATGCAAGCGCTTGGAAATCATGCATTCAGTAAATGTGATGTACACTTTACCTTGAATGTTCGACCACTGGTGAGGATATGTTCTTAGAAGACATTATCTATACCATAAACATATGAGCAGCTGAATCAATTTTGGAGAACAGTGAAATAGTTCAATAATTACTTGGAAATATCCACCACCACACAAATGACTAAACTATGATTAAATATGAGTACAACATACCAATCGAATAACTGCATTTTACACAAATGTACTCAAGCAGTTAACAGTTAATATAGAATGAAAAATTAAACTGTGCTTTACAAATTTTGCACATAACACAAACATATTGTTGTTGTCATTTATACTAAAAAGAGACCAATAAGCTGTATCATGACCAAGGGTAAATAATCATGTACAGATACTTAAAGAAAATCTACTATGTAAAGCAGAACTTCTACAAATAAAGCTTTAATCCACAACAACACATCAAATTAGTTACTTAGGGAGATTCATATTTAACGAATCACCGAAAAGACTGCTTACAATTAATGCAATGAGGTGTTATATATGCCAATTATTATAAACACTTTTAAACACTTCCAGAGAAATTTTTATTGTGCTCAATTTTTTAAACTGCAAACCGCCCAGAATTACTTAAGTGTGATGGGTGGTGTAGATATTTGATGAGTAAAATAAATAAAAATTAAAAGAAATGTTACTTATATGAATATTACTGTGCACAATGTCTTGTTGAGAAGTACCAAAAATCTTACTATGTTTTAAGACTTAGATAAGCCTTAGCTTTTGGTAATCCTAAAGATAATGCAATATCTTGAGGCCTATATATTTCACTTGAGGCCTATATATTTCACTTGAGGCCTATATATTTCACTTGAATGGGCTGTTGAGGCCTATATATTTCACTTGAATGGGCTGTTGGCTTGAGGCCTATATATTTCACTTGAATGGGCTGTTGGAAAAAAAACAGCATTGAAGTAGATGAATCCCAGACAAATTCTGGTTACTAATTCCTATGGATGCACATTTGCATGCCTTATCTAAGGTAAAGCAAGCTATTCCAGTAGATACTTCATTTTAAAGTTAGACTTTTTCATATTGAAAACTACTAACCAGAATGGCTGTTCCTTTTATGGTAGGTGTTTGATGTGGATTTGGATTTTGAAGTCAGATATGTCGAATTGGAACCAATAGAACTGGAAGATAAGGATTTCCCCAGATTGTCTGAACTCTTCTTTATTATATTAGTTGCTGTTTTACTCCAGTCTGAAAATAAATGAGAGCAAAAGGGGCTGTGATTGCATACCAGCTGGAAATAACCATTCAGACCTTAAAAGAAGTAAAGAAATGGAATTAAAGAAAGCACAAATCATTTTCATTTCCCCCCCCCCCGAGTGTACTTATTACCCTTTATTATGCAAATCATTCCCCAGTGCATTTCCTCTGGGCTGACAATATGGGGAATTCATATGTGCAGTGACACAATCACGTTAATGATATCATTCATGTTTAACATCTGAAATTATTCCCACCCTGTCACTAATATAAGATGTAAACATTTCTTGTTTCGCAAGGCTTGGGGAGGGAGGGAGGGGATGTGTAACTGGTGAGAGATGCATGGGAAGGCTCAGGGAGGTACTGGGGTCTGTGAGGGTGATGCGACAAGGCTCAGGAAGGGTGTGCCAGGCAGGTGCAGCAAGGAGGGGGAAGTTGTGCAGTGGTTCCTGAATAGCCTGCAAGGTACAAGGGAGGAGGAGCTAGGGAAGATGTGTGGGTAGGGGAGACTTACTCCAGTGACTTGCAACCTTCACTGCCAGCTTCCCCATTGACCTTTTGGGGAAGCCGTCAGGGAATGTCATATATGGTAATCAGATGACCGCAGGGTATTACAACTGGTCATAAGTGCAAGTGGTTGCCAAGCACCCAGATCATCATCACATGATCACGGGAATCCTGGGATGGTCAGAACTCTGAGGATCAATTGTAACCACCCTTCGTTCAGCACCGTCGTAACTTTGAATGGTTTCTGAACGCATAGTTATATGTTGAGGATTACCTGTATGTACGAAGATGGAGAAATACTGAACTACCCATAATGGAAGAATGGATTGTGAAGATGGCAAAACTAACAGAAATGGCAAAAAATACCTGTTTGGTCAGGGTCAAAACAATAAGTACTTTTATTAAAGACTGGAAATATTTTATGAAAATGGGAAAAAAGAGAAATGGTGATTTCTGGATTTGATAATTGTAAAAAGACTGAATAAGGGATGGAGGACTATTGTAATGTTTTCTAGGGAGGAAGGATAATGAGTTTGTAACTGCTGTAAAGAAATGTGGAAGTAGCTTCTTTAACTACCTTTTCCCCCCCTTTAACTCTATTTTTTCTGCACATGTTCTCTTCTCTTTTTTCCTTTATTTGCTTTTAGCTATGTAAAAACCTTTAATAAAAAATTATTTAAAAATGCAAATATTCTCTAAATGCAACCACTAAATAATGACTTTCTGAACCAAGGTTCTGTATGATTACATCTGAAACTGCAATTAAAACTTTAGTTTAATTTAATTAATTTCTTTTGATTTAAAAGGAAACACAGGTGAGGTGAGGTGAATTTCACTATTGTGACGAAGAGTCCTAAATTTTAACCAGATGTTTTTAAAAGACATATGCAAATGATGCTTTTAGTTCCTATTGAACCATGCAATACTATAGAACACAGAGAACTTCTATGAGAAACTATTTCAAGATCCTTTATGCTTCTGACTCATACCCTTTCCTCCGCCAGCTCTCAAACATACAGAAGAAATTATTCAAACATATATTCACCAACATAAGTCAGAAAAATATATCCATCTGCCCAGTACATAAACATGAATGTTCCTCATTTGGTAGACTCAAGGGGTTCAAATGTTTGTAGGCAACTAGTCTCCTTGAACTGGATGAGGCTATAAACAATATTTTTTAAGCTACAGAGACAATTTTAAAAAGATTCAGAGCAATTAAAGGTTGTTTCAACTCTACAAATAAGCATGGCTACAGCCATTTTCCTTCTCATTCTAGGTTGCCACATAGACCGGAGGGAGGGGGGGATTGCCCAGGTGCTTCGTTAGTCAAAATAATTCTTTGTCCCTTGGGAACCAAGGTCATCGGCTGCCCCCAAGACTGCAGGCTGGGCATTGCGTAAAAAGCCCGCCGAGAAGATGTATTGGGGAACGTAGTTGCTTGCATAGTTTTTTATGAGTGGGATTTTTTAACTTTGTATTGGGGAATTGTTACGTGTGTATCCAGACTTGGTTTCACATCTCCGATTCTCAGCCTAGGGAGCCTATGTTGTCTGAGAAATGTTTCTATCATTATGTGGCCAGCATGAAAATATGGAACGCAGTAACCTTTCCCACCAAAGCGGTATCTATTTATCTACTTGCATTTGCATGCTATCGAACTGCTAGGTTGCAGGAGCTGGGGCGCGTAACGGGAGCTCACCTCGTCATGTGGCGCTTGGGTCTCAAACCTGAGCAATCAGCTTTCCAACAACAGAAAGCAATGGAAGTATATAATTATGCAAATCCTTCCTGGTAACACTATTACAGAAGATCCTTTTAAATTCTGCTTACTACTAAAAATCCATTACATACATACAATAACTAGGAAGTTAAATAAGAAATCTGGAAAGTTGGTAAGGGCAAATAACTTAATATAACTGCCAAGAAAATTACAAGGACATTTCTGTAAGTAACCCATTCAAAATGAAGTAGATTTTGGTTTAATAATGAGTAGAACTGATGTTAATTAAAGTAACAAATCATAGAATAAAATGACAAGTATACAGTACATGGATCTTGTCCATTTATCTACTAAATGGGAATTCTGCCAGACTTATGAATACATATATTTAATCTGGTGAAAGCGAAGATAAAAGGATCTAAGCAATTGCTCTGTTTCAGGCTTTGTTTTCTAATATCTCCTCAAACATTTACATAAACGTTGCAAGGAAACACTTATTCTTTGAAATAACATCATTTGCAGAAATGGCACATTCTCAATTTTCTGGTAGACAGTTTCTATTAAATATCTCAGAAAGTTGCGCTTATCAGGTCCTAGCAGGTCAGCACATGGATGAAAGATTACCTTATAATGTACATTTTAGCTTTATGGGCTCAATTAAGAGAGAAGAATTACAAATGGTAGTTCATATTACCTGAGTTATCCGCCAGCCTGAATCGTCCACAACATAGATGCCTTCTCCATTGCTTTTGTACATTTTCTTTCATTGCACAGTGGAATATAAATATAAATAAACCTGAAAAGGAAAATAGTAATAAAATCTAATGTTTTATTAAATAAGATTAAAATACACACACACACACACAAATACCTTTGGTTCATGAAATAGTGTATATGATATTTCAATATACACCTTCACTAATTGTTACTCATGTGTAAACCAAACCAAACTGATTCAGAGTAAGGTAGAAGTTCTAATATAATATATTAATATAATATAATATATTCTAATACAGTGTTTCTCAACCTTGACAATTTTAAGGCATGTGGACTTCAACTCCCAGAATTCCACAGCCAGCAATGCCATTTATGCTTAGTCCTAATACTGCTGCACTTCAGATTCCATCCGTCCCTGCTCTTATAGCACCATTAGCAAGGGATCAATCACAGTAGAAGTGCCAGGAAGAAGACAAATTTGAATGCTGAAGTTGGACGGACCTGGAATCTGGGACAAGCATGTATCGATGTGGAGTGTGGTAAATCACTTTAAATATTATTTTGCTTGGGTTAAAATGTTTAATTTGCATGTTATATAAATAGCAGGAAGACTCAAGACTTTCCTAATCCAGAAATATATGTATTATTATTATCTTGTCTATTATTACATCCATTTGGAGGTAGAGGTACTGTAGAAGATAAATGACATACAGTAGCATGTTCACATTATTCTGCCTTACTTGTTGGTTCCAAGGGAATTTTGCAATGGACATTCCATAAGCTGGCAATTGTTATATTGTTATCCCATTTTTAAAAGAATCTTATTTTATTCCAGTTAATTATATTAATGAAACAGAAAATGTACTTTCTTTTTTTTAATGACAAGGTACTTCAAATATATTTATTAATTATTCTAACAAATACTACTCCTTCCATTTTATTAATTTAAAAATACTATTAACACTTCTCTATTTTTCTCTCTTTATTTTTAAAAAAAATCCACATCTGTACTTCAAGACTCTATGGCAGGTCTCTATAGCATATTGTATATGTAGATTAACATTCACTTTATGTGTTGCAAATTGGTGCTGAAGATGGAATATACGAACATGACATTATTAATATACAGCTATCTGGAATTGAATAGGGAGAGTAATCAGATTCATAATTTGATTCAGATTACATAATTTGATTCTAACCATTACATTTTGAATACAGTTTACATACTATTCATATTACTGATTTATACACAGGTTGTACACATGAAATGAAAGATCTGTTGAATGATTTTTCTCTAGCATGTGCCCTTTTTATTGCATATCTCTATTCAGTTATAATTGTATTCAAGTATAAGTGGGTACCTAGGATGCCCTACTGTAAATTGCTTAATATGAAAAAAAAATCCCTGTTCAACTTGTAAATCAGGTTTTTTTCCCTTTTAATTCCTTCAACTTATTAACACAGGCTGCTATTAGGGCTGTTTGCTAAACTGGAAACTTTCTTCTTCCTAAGAACAGTGGATTCTTTGAAAAATGCATAAATGTTGAATTTGTTTTGGAACTCTTCATTGGATTTCCAAGAACAAATTTTAATTATTCATCTGGATTTTGGATAAGAACCCAGATTCCATGACCTTACTGGTAAGAGTTCTCAAGCAATTCCAAAAAAATCAAGTATGGGGATAGTCCTGATGAATACCTTTTAGTTCAATATTTTTTTAATTAAATCTTTGCAGTCTTTGTAAAACTGCACCAATTCAAGTTTCCTATTACATATGAGAGATGTTTTTGACAAAATTGGGAGTATCTTGGGTAGAAAGGTAAATGACTGAAAAAAACAAATGGAGAGCTGGTAGTGTGAAAAAAGATCCCTTTTTAAGTTGGCCTTTTTCTGCTACAAAAAAATACTCCAGTCTGCTAAAGGGGAAATGATATAAGCTTGATAATCTAAACCATAACTAAATTTAAATATTATTAAAACAAAGCGACATATTGTCTACATAATATTTCAAAGTCTGGGATTTTTTTTGAGATAATTTAGTATTTGCATCCTTTAGCTGCTCCTATATAATAAACAAATGAACAAAAATAATGAACTTCTTATAATATAATAGTATCTTATAATACATTTCCCCCCTTTTATTCTCTCCAAACTAGTGGAATAATACAAAGAAATTGTGTAAAATGGTTCAGGATCTGTTTACCAGCAAGATAACATTCTGAAAGCCAATTAGAATTGGGCCAAATTTTGATATGGCAAGAGATGGCAAAAAAGAAAAATCAAATAAAAATGAGCTACAGAGAGAAAAATCAGAAACAATTTCCTCAATCAACTCTATGGGTCATGGCTTAGAACAAGAACCACTAATTCAGTCTAAACTCCTCTCCCCTTCCTATTTCAACAATAAGGAACATTTTAGGCTTAATTTTGGAGTGTATTGTTAAGTCTAAATTAGATATTTTGAATAAGTTTCAAGTTGGAAAGCAGAAATGTGCCAATTCTATATTTCTTACTCCAAAACCTGGATGAATTACTTTCTTGAAACAATAAGAACATGCTCCTAGGGTAAGTTGGAAAACATTTCTAGTTCCAAAAAATTCTATTGACCGTGATATGATGTTTCTGAATTCTATTATCATCAATTACTGTCATGTGACTCTTTACTATTATTCTGTATAGTTGTTACCATTGATACCATTTGTGTGTGTGTGTGTGTGTGTGTGTGTGTGCATGCACGTGCTTACATCTACAAATCTTAAGCACAATGAATGTGTTAAGAGTGCTACATAATGTATATACTATACCTGTGAATCTGTGTTAGGTTATTATTGATATTGTTTTTCCAAAACATTCCTCTACTCACCTTGCAATGAGTTGGAAATACAGAAGAGATACACAAAAGGAAGATATAGTGGCCCCCAGGCAAAAAAAGCAAAACCCCACGTCATGCCTAGGAGGAAGGTCAGGCTAATAACACTACGAAGGTTCCTCAGGATCTCTTCCCGCATAGTCCTATTGGTCCGTTTGCCATTTCGTCCACATATTTGCATCATCACCACAACAAACATGGCAATGTTCATGAGGAACATGATTCCAAAGTAGCCAACACAAGTCACGTAAAATACAACAGTGCTTTTAATCCAGCAGCTATAAAAAAAAAGTATTAATTCTACATTATTGTCATGTTACAAAATTAGTTGTCTATTAATTCTGGTTGCTTTGGGCTACTTTAAATAAAAGTATTGGGCTTTAGCTATTACTTCTCCAAAGTTGTAAATCAGGGTAATGCTGGATTAGTAAATGATCAGATAAATTCAGAATCAGTTATTCTGTACTTCTAGATACTTCAAATATTGCCACAATCGCCTCAGTGAAGATTAAATGTTTCTCTGAACAAACCTGAAAGCACTTAAAATCTTTTGCTTCTTTTGAGCCATTAAATTAATGTACAAACAAACTCTGGTTTCCTGAAATCTTTCTGAAGAAGTTCAATATCCAGCTAGGTATTGTCCCAAATGTAAACATTCCTAATTATATAATCACCTCTGCATTAAAAAAACTACACCCTGAATATTTATTGACCTCGAATTTAGACAATATGAAAACATCCTACGAACAATGAATATTCACAGAATGCATGATTATTTCACCAGGAACATGTTTGTTTATATTGGAATGAAAAATTCAAATAAATGTCACATAAACATACATTTTATGAGTAACGTTTTCAGTCTAAAAGTACATAAATGAGAATCAATCCCTTTAATTTCAATAGAGGTTAACTCCAGAAGGAGCAGAACTAATAAATTTTATGTCATAATGCTGGTATTATACAGGTAATCCTCAACTTACAACTTCACTTAGTGACCGTTCAAAGATACAACAGCACTGAAAAAAGTGTCTGATGACTGTTTTTCACACCTACAACCCTTGCAGCATCCCTGTGGTCACATGATCAAAATTTTGGATGCTTGGCAGCTGACTCATATTTACGACAGTTTCAGTGTCCTGGGGTCATGTGATCCCCTTTTGTGACATTCTGAAAAGCCAAATCAATGAGGAAGCCAGATTCACTTAACGGCCGTGTTATTAACTTAACAACTGCAGTGATTCACTTAACAACTGTGGCAAGAAAGGTCATAATATGGGACAAAACTCACTTAACAACTGTCTCACTTAGCAACATAAATTTTGGACTCAATTATGGTTGTAAGTCAAGAACCTTTCATAGCCGTTTCAGCAATAAACTCATAAAGCGTAGATAAAAAAACATAACTACCTTCATTTTAAATCATTTATGCACATGTGTTTGGAAAGTTGACCTTATCAAATGAGCAGAATGAAGCAAAGTATATTCATGTGAATGCCACACATGCACTAGCCTAAGTTAATGGTTTCTACTAAATGTTTCCAGAAGAATCATCACAATTACTTTTCACATAGTAAAAATTAGAATTCTAACACAAAAATTTGTAGCAGTGAATTACTAAAATATTATTAATCATGTTGTTGTTGTTAATTGCGAAGTCATGTCCAACCCATCGCGACCCCATGGACAACGTTCCTCCAGGTCTTCCTATCCTCTACCATCTTCTGGAGTCCATTTAAGCTCACGCCTACTGCTTCAGTGACTCCATCCAACCACCTCATTCTCTGTCGTCCCCTTCTTCTATTGCCCTCAATCTTTCCCAGCATTAGGCTCTTCTCCAGTGAGTCCTTCCTTCTCATTAGGTGGCCAAAGTATTTGAGTTTCAACTTCAGGATCTGGCCTTCTAAAGAGCAGTCGGGGTTGATCTTTTCTAGGACTGACCGGTTTGATCATGTGCCACACTTCAAATAGGGCAATAATGTCCATGAGAACATGTCCTTCCTTAGTAAGTCAGGAAATTGCATAAGCAAATCATGTCTCACTAAATAATGCTTCTTCCTCATCCAACAGCTAGAATTACTTGTGTTACATTTTAACAAAAGTGGAAAGCTTACTTAACTGGCTCCTTGGAAGGAAGAGGATCATGACAAATTTGCCTTTATCGTATTTACCTTTACTACCATCATATCAGATATATATTCTTATTGGATTTACATCATTTTAAAAATGATTTAAAAGCATGTACTAGGGTGCCTGCATCATTATGTTTTAACCTAATACTTACAAGTTATCTCCACCTTGTTCCTTATTATTTTTGCCATCCAGAATGTTGCTGTAAATATTATTTGTATTTGCATGGGTGCTTGCTAGAATAATAATCACCACCAATGCTGGTAAACCTGCAATAAAATAAAACACAGCAAAAGGAAGTTTTATAAACCTATAATAACCCATCTGTTGTGAATGTAAACTGCAGATTCTTACATACAATCTTCATGAGTACACATGGATCTTCATCATGCAGATTTTGTTTATCTCCTATGGGACTTGGGATTTACTTGTCATGGGGGAGGAAAGGCTGAACTCTCTAAGCCAGGCATGTCAAACTCGCAATGTCACGTGACGTCGCGCGATGTATCGCGACTTTCCCCCCATTGCCAGCAATGGGGTGGGCACGGTTTCAGTATGATGCATCTGGCCCGTGGGCCGGCAGTTTGACATGCCTGCTCTAAGCACTGTATTTATATGCTACGTGAATGACCAGAAGGTATTCTACATTTTGCCTATTTAATCAGAAAGAAAGGATAGAGTGTAAGAGCCCTATCTCTCTCAAAGCACTGGAATGAGATATGTATGTCAGGGGAGGCACCTTCATAAAATTGATAATGTTAGAAGGAAATACCAAGATGCTACCAAGATGGTACCTCAAAGCAGAAGCTTCACAAGGGTGTGATGACATGAGGTGTCTGGAAAAAGAAGTAGGACCTCCAGCCTTGTGAACCTTGTAAACCTCAGCTATCTGCTACACCATCTAATAGAGCAAATTAATGCAACAGTGGCTTTAAAATCAATTATCAATATTTCTAAAATACTGTATGTACATACTGCATATGTACATATAAATGTATATTATTATCCCTGTGTTCATTTGAACTTTTGGATGTGAATGGAAGTGTTTAGCTTCATCTTTTTCCTAGTTTCATCCATTTTCAAATACTCACTATAATTGTAAACCTTAAGCTGTAGTGTATACGCTATAGATAACAATAAATCTGCCAGCTCAACTTGAGTTGTATTTATGTCTCATTTCAAATACCTCAAGAAAGAAATAGCTGAACAAAATACTAATGAAGGGCTTTGTATATGATGCTGTACTGGTAAAAATATATCCTACATAGGAACAAGCTGTCTTTCTTCTTCTAGTGTTTCTAATCCTCTCCAACTTTCTAGAGCAGATTCTGTGAATATATCATAACACTTCTGGTGGTGAAAAATTTCTCTTCTTTCAGCTTCAGTATTTTGCTCTAAGTAGCTGCAGCGGATAAGAGTAGCCATACATACCAGGGGCAGGCAAATGATTAACAAAAGTCTTTTAAAGAGTTTATAGAGATTAACCCACCCTTTTAAAGAGAAAGAAGTGATTATATGTAAAGTATTCTAGATACTAATTTCAACTGGTAATAAAGTGTATAAAAGATTCTTCATTGGTGGACAACATCATTTCTCTGCTGAACTGACAAACGCTAGACCATACGTTGCTTTTAAAATAATTTATTAGACTTTAGGGGATGAAGAAATATTATAGAAATTGCATTTCAATCTATCTGAATTCTAAGAATTCAGCACGTCAATAATATGTGGTTTAATGTTCTATTGTAATTTTTTTTAAAAAAAGATAAAGGTTTCCCTGTCCAGTCATGTCTGACTCTAAGGCATGGTGCTCATTTCTGTTTCTTGGCCAAGGGAGCCAGCATTATCCAAAGACATTTCCATAGTCATGTGGTCAGTTTGGCTATATGCCGAAAGTACTCAAAATGCTGTTACCTTCCTACTGAAATAGTACCTATTAATCTACTCGCATTTGCAAGTTTTCTAACTACTTGGTGGACAGGATATGGGCCAAGGAATGGAAGCTCACCCTGTTGTGCAATACTTGAGTCTCAAACTTGGACTGTTAGCTTTCCAGCTGTTGTGGCCTGTCGGCTGCCGGAGGACTACGCACCCGACTCAGAAGAGGAAGCACAGGAGTGGGCGTCGGGCCCAGTGTCAGGGCCAGCTGAAAGCTCCGATGGGGACGAAGGAATGGAGCTGTTGCAGCCAGAGACAGATGCGGAGCCTGGGCCATCTGCCAGCCCCCAGATGGAAAGGCTGAGACCTCCATGCCTTGAGGCAAGTAATTCAAGAGAGGAGGATCACATGGGGCCAGTGATTGATGCGTGGGCGCGGCGGAGGCTGAGGAGAGGAGAACAGCGAGAGGCTATGGGCCAGTCTTTGGGGTGGAAGAGTCACCGCTGCCAACAGAGCCCCACCCTCAGCTATGGATAAAAGGCAGGGGCGGAGACGAATAGGTGTGGCAGACAACTATTCATCTCCCTGCTGGTCAGCCACTGCTAGTTGGAACTCCTGACTCTTGTTTGGAAACTTGCCGGAGTTTTCCTTGGATCCTGTGGCGCTGGGAGTCAGAGTGCTTTCTGAGCGTGTGCATGTGTCTTATATTAGAAAAGAGCCAGCTTGCCTGAAGGATCTTGCTGCAAGCATGATGAGAGACTGAGATTAACTCTGGGTTTTGGGAGACCCCTGCAGGGAAAAAGGGAGTGAGCTCTGTTGTTTCGAGGCAACTAAAGGCAACTGTGTGAAACTGCTGGCTTTCCTGAATAAAAGGAATGTTGGAGAATTATTGGTGCATCTGTTGTGTTCGGGGAGCCGAGTCAGAACACCAGCTGACAAGCTCAGCATCTTTAACCACTGAGCCATCATGCCCCCTTCTGTTCTAGATTAGTGATCAGTATTTTGTATGGTACCTCAAAATGGGTGTCAACAATGTAGTTAAAATTATAAGAAATCTACTCACAAATTAGTTTACTGCTGTTATTTCATGACTACTTCTTTCTTTCTGTGAATTGTTGCATACTACAATTGTGTTCCAGCCCCTAATGTTTTTTCATAATTCAAAACTTACAAATGTGGGGGGAGGCGAAAGGAATAGGAGTTTTGTTTCATGAACTGTACAATTATTTATTGGAATCACTGTTCACTGCATGTTTTATAAATAAAAGCTGTCCTTCCTTCCAGTCTGAAAACAGCACAGGTGAAGGCGCAGAAAAACTATATATACATGATAGCATACTTCATAGAATGAATTAACCAACATAATCTTCACAATGCAACATATTTCGCTTTATGAATTTCATACATTTACTTTAGTAACTTTTCCTTAGTGTTGTAGAAAAAACAGTTACTACCATGCTGTGTTAGATTATAATGTATAAAGATTATGCTATGAAAATGCTCCTTGTAGCCATGAATATACGTAACCCAGATACATAAAATGCAGGAACTTATCCCTTGCTCTTAGTTTCAATTCTTCTCCAACTTGTATGAATATAACTTCATGAGATACCTTTTTATTTGTAAAAGAAACCAAGCAAATGCTTCACTGAATGAAAATAAGGACTCCAGGGCAGGAATGAAAGAATCCATAGTTGGAAATTGGGCTAATAAAAACTCAGCTTTTTTGGCCTAAATATTCTAATTTTGTTGTCTAAAAATAGCTCATAACAATTTGTGAGATTATCAGTTGGTCAGGCTTTTTAAGCCATCCATATGTATATCATATCAACATATGAATGTGTTAAAATTATCGGTTCTACTGTTATATAAGCTCTAAGCAACCGCTCCTCTGGCACTTTATCAGTTTTTATAAATAAATCATAATAAAATTATGTAATTATGTTTAAAGGAAAGAGCTCACTTTTAGGAATAAAAATTAATTGAAAAAAGGTATGGAAAGCCTTATGTGAAATATTTAAAACTTTTAAAATTACAAATGTATCTGTGTAGAATGCCAGAACTTACTTGAGGACAATCCTGCAACTTATAAAAAGTACTAATTTAGCCAAAAATGAAGGCGGAAAGGAGGGATAGAAAAACTAGGAAACCCAAAATAATTCCCATATATCTACTGAACTTCTGTTGTCCCTCTTTGACTTCAAGAGCTAGAATAATGTAATTTATAAACAAAAACTGTAAAAGAGCCTTACTTACCCCAACCAATGACACAAAATTTTAATATGTATCGTCGAATGTAAGTATTGAACACTTTTACTAGAGCTATATACATATGAACAGCTTCAAGGGCCATCCAGGTAAAAGTTGCCAGAAGAAAGTAATGCAGGAGAGCGGCAATAGCTACGCAGAGGCCATCTATGTCAAATGATGCAATCCAACCATCAAGGAGAAAGACCAGATTTAAGCATAGCAAAGCTGTGCTCAAATTCATTAGGATTTTAGAAGGATAATCTCTTCGCAGTTTTCTGGCGATAAATGGATAGCAAAATTACAATCAAGTAAGAATTCCACCCCATTGATTTTTGACATTTTTTTGAATCTCGTAGTTATTTAGGCCATAACAGAACACACAGATGCACTCATCTCTATTGATGAAAGGCAAGTCCGTTTATAAACTTGTGCACTGAGAAAGTAACATATATACATTTGCTTTTAAGTGGTATCTATAGCAGATTGTTTTGTAATTTGGGTTTGATTCTATTTTCCATAGAAACCAGGATATTATCAGGAAGGCAAAACTTCATGTCTGAATCTCTAAAATAATTTCAGGCATCATATGGACTTATGTGTGTGTGATATATGGGCATGTATATTAGAGACAGTAAATAAGTAAGAGCTGGATTTTAATATGATAGTTGAGGAATTAAACAACTATTTAGCTAGTTGAGGAATTAAACAACTATTTAGCCATTTTATTATTAGGTGTCTGTTCTGGCTTGTTTGCAACATCAAAATCACATTCCTGCCACAAATAAAATGTATGTCTTACTGTATCTACCTGCTGTAAGAGCAGACTAGGGATCAGGTTTTACTTTTATGAAGTTTTCCTGATTTCTCATATTCACTGATCTTGTGACTCTCTCCACACAATGATTAGATTGAAATGTATTACTGTGGTATAATTAAAATTATTATTTAACAAACACTTACTCAAAAGCAATGTATGTCAGAAGAGTTGCAGCAGAAAATATGGCCGATATTCCACAACCAATATATGTTATGAAAGTGAGGACTTTGGTATTTACAGAATCTATTTGTGAAGCTGTTCTTGGCAAATCCTACACAGAAAAAAAACAAAGTATATAAACTGTTAGAAAGACATTTTTGAAAACTGTTTATTTTCTCCTGTGACAACAACATAGATGAAAGTCATAGGCAATCTGGCCAAAAGTACTGCCGATAATATATTTAATACTTTGCTGTCTTACCTTTGGTTTCCTTCCTACTTTTTCTGAAGTCAGAGGCTATGTTGTATATCAGTTGGAATGAGCGGTGAATGCAAACCACTATAGTTTATGTCATTTTGTCATGTAGATTACAAAACAGCCAGTAAGCAATCCTTCTACTTGCAGTCTTCTATTTTCTCAGCATTCCTTATAAATCAGGATTTTTCCCCTCTTATAAGTGGAATCTTTCTTTATAAAAAAAAGTCTAGAAAGTTTAACAGTCTTGTCATTTTGGTGTGTGAAAATTTATAGAGCCGTTTGGGAACTTCAGTTTGAGTACTATGTTCCAGATTGGGAAAATGAAAGGAGACCCCTATGCCCAGGAACAAATCCAAGTTTTAAAGTATTTTATCTCCTTTCATTTTTCCAATCTGGAACATAGTACTCAAACTGAAGTTCCCAAACGGCTCTATAAAAGAACACCGGCATAAATTTTCACACACCAAAATGACAAGACTGTTAAACTTTCTAGACTTTTTTTTATAAAGAAAGATTCCACTTATAAGAGGGAAAAAATCCTGATTTATAAGGAATGCTGAGAAAATAGAAGACTGCAAGTAGAAGGATTGCTTACTGGCTGTTTTGTAATGAGATGTTGCTGTTTACTTGTTGATTGGGTTTTTCCTGGGCTAATTATACGCTTCTTATATTGTTGTTTATAGATGCTTCTTTTGTAATGTGCCCAAAGTAATCACAGCAAGATGGGTGGCCACATAAAGTGATTAAATGAATAAAATGAGGATTGGTATCCTAAAGTTTTTAAGAATATTTTCTTCCACAAGGTCACCCATTCAGATTATTTTCTCCCAATCAGGCCTCAAATATTTATCAGAAGTTAAACACGCAACTGGAATCTTGTGGAAATATTACAAAGGCTAAAAGGAAGGTAATCTTATGTGGGAAAATGGGATTGAACAGATTTCATTGCTATTTCTCAACTACAAAATTTCCCACCTCTACAAATTGCTTTCACTTAATTAAAACCACGGGTCAGATTTAAGAACATGCTATTTGTATGGGATGCGATAGTGATGTCACCTTTAGACTTTCCATTCACACAGATCTGACTGAAGATTCACTACAGTGCAGGGGTGGACAATCTGCAGTTTCTGTCTACAGCAGGGGTAGGCAATCTTGGCTCTTTTTTGACTCGTGGACTTCAACTCCCAGAATTCCTGAGCCAGCCATGCTGAGGGGAAAGGGAAAGGTTTCCAAGCTGAGCCATGCTGGCTCAGGAATTCTGGGAGTTGAAGTCCACGAGTCTTAAAAGAGCTGAGGTTGCCTACTCCTGATCTACAGGATCACTTTCTCGGAACAACCGTGAACATGCTTGTAAAAGTGGCCATACCAGAATGTGACTCTTACAGCACAATTACACTCATATCTATTTATACTGAAGTCTCACTGAGTTCCATAGACTTCCCCCCAGGCAAGTAAGTAAGTATAGTCTTTCCAGCATTAAACATTTCAGAAAAAATACTGAACTACGATATTGACAGCTTCTGAGGCTGGTGATGTTAACTCTGCTGAAAGAGACAGAAAGTGTTCTATACTAAAGCAGCCACTAAAGAGGTGTAAACATCTGCCTGGTAATGGGCTCCGCTGCCTCATCCTGCCTTAAATGCAGCTGTAAGTTGGGAAGTGTCAGACATTTCTGCACAGAAATATTCCTGGAAGTGTTACTGGGATACTCAAATTAAAGAACTGGCCCCAAAATATTAAAATTTTCATATTGGAATGCTGCCAGGATTCTATAGACTTTTCCCTGTCTTCATTTCTAAAACCTTTACAAAAGTATTCGCAGCAAGAGAAAGGACCCATTGAATTTATTTCAAAGAATGATCTCCTTTTTGACAAAAATATGGAAGCAGAATGTAACACAGTCTTGAGAAGGGAACAGAAAAGCTTGCAACATTACTAAGCCTATGGGAGCCATATATTAACTTTGTGGGTTAGGGACCCACACAGAACCATAGGAGGGAAGTAGGAAGGAAGAAGTAGGGAAAAAACTCATTCTTACATTGTAACCTAGTATTTGAAACCTAGTTTACTTTAAAAAATAATAATTTAAACCAGGAAAATTTTTATGTACCAACTTAACTTTAACCTATAAGAGAAAAATCACCAAAATATCTCAGAAGTTGTCAATATCAAAACAAAAGTTGAAATGGTTACTGAAAAGAGCTCATTGTCAAAAAGTTATCATAGATTTTTAAGAAGTTCAGTATTTAATACATCTTTTCCTTGCCAGCAGATGGTTCAACAGGGCAAAAAAGGTTTTTTTTTAAAAAAAGGAAAATAGTCACATGAATTCCAGAAAAGTTATTTTTTTAAAACAGCAACAGAAATACAATTCCTATACCAGATTCTCACTCTGGACCAGAATATGTAAGAAAATGCAAAATAACTATATATAGTCCTCTATGTTGTATTATTAACTGTTTGCATAGGGATCAAAGCAGAATAAATGAAAGCATATGATGCCTCTATCAATGCTGAATATTGCTGATGAGGATGTGTTTCTCATATGTTTTCCTGTGTAGATAACATTCAATGATACATTCCCATCTACTGTAATGCCTAATACTATATTGTGTGGTATCAAGAATACTACAATTCAGAGTAAAAGAATAAAAATGTTTCATGAAATGTTTGGTATATTCAAAAGAAGCTCATTTAAGTAAAATTACAAAAATACCTCAAGAAAGATAGCAATTTGTGAATGTTAAGATAAGATAACCTTTATTGTCATTTTTTACTGTGGGCACGACACACATCAAAAATGAAATTTAGTTGCCCGCTGTCAAAGTGAACACATACATGACACATACCTAAACATACTATATACAACATATACATATTATATACAACATATGTTATGAATGAATAAGAATGACACTTACCATCAATACACCAAAATGTGTAAGATGATTGCAGAGACAGACAGTCTCATTCTCATTTGACTCTGGAAGTGCATAGCAGCCAGTTGTATTCCACCCACCTTGGCCTCCTAGAATAATCAATGAAGGAAATTATTTATCATCCTCATCATCATCTTTAATTTTTTTCACGCACATTTCATATGCACAACATATGAAAATAGCTTACAATAATTATTAAAAAATAATGCAGTAAAATAAAAAAAATAAAATAAAGATGTAAGCAAAAATGGACAAAATGAAAGAGGCAGACAAGATCAAACATTAAACTGCACAGAAATGGAAAGTGTATTAGCAATTACTTAAAGAATTAAAAAGATAGCCCAGTAAATCTTTGTAAGAAGGATACAGCATTTAATATATACAACGTATTAAGAAATATACTATTCTTTTAAGCTGATGGTACTTAGAAGAAAAAGCTGAACCTCGAATCCCAATCTTATCTGTCCCATTTAAGGGAAGACCATGAACAGAGATGGATATTTTTTATTTTGGCAGGGGGAAAATCTATGTTATCTTAAAATTTACGTTGTGGGTAGTAAACACTGCTCTCTTCTATAGTGGTCCCTTCCCTGCTTTATCACAGTTTGGGCAACTAGAACAAATATGATGAAATGATAAAACATACAGTAGGTTTACCAAGCTGATTCTGCAGGGGCGTTTACAGTGACAGTCAACGATGTCAAAATGGCAAGTGTGACTGAGCAACTGAAGCATTGCCAATTTGATGTGTGATACATGACATGCATATTAAAAAAGGGGAGTGCTTCAATTGCTTGGTTGTACTTCTCATTTTGACATTGTTGACTGTCACTGAAGAGGTTCCTACAACTGTGATAGCAAGATGGGCAACAAGATAATTTAAAACATTCAGCAGTTTACCTCAATGGATGACAGTATGCTTCTAAACCTGTTCTAAATGGAAGGATTCAAAAACTGTTCACAATTGCTGTGAATGATTACTAAATACTTTCAGCAAAATGTTACTTTAATATTATCAATCCTTCTAGTTGGCTACACAAAAGCGGACCAAAAAATTATGGATGAAGTTTAACTGTGCCCTGACAAAGGGTATGGACGACTATGTCCCATCTATTTATCCTTCATAATGCATGATCCATTACTTGAAATAGCTCCTTCAGTGTAAAATCTAACCTGTGTTGATTTGGATGCATCTCAAGACTTCCAACAACTGCCTTCCATCAACACACCTTTTCATTACTCTAGAAAACAAAGTATCTGTATAGGGATAGTTGCTTGGTTATAATCACTTTCCAGTTTGTATAGGAGAAGTTGCTTAGTTGTAAACACTTTCCAGTCTATTTTCTGATTCCTGAGTGTGGTCTGAATTGCAACAAGATTACAGAAGGGGCAAATCCCAAAGAAATACACGGAAACTATTCATCTATAATGGATGGTTTGATTATATCACATAATTGGATTGTATTAAAGAGTTCACCACCAGAGGGAGGCTCAGTGCCACTGATAGATTAAACTTTTGGACTCTACCTCTTGTATAAATTATTAGTAGATTTGAATGTGAATTGTCTTACTGCTAAGTAGATAAAAAGTTTTCAGAAATGCCCCATATTTTGCATATCAAAGAAGAAGAAAAAAAATAAACTTACTGTTCTTGTTCATATCCCAAAAAACACAAGTAGTATTAGGAGCGTTCTATAAATTAAACAAACACAACAAAAAAACAAAATTGCATCTCCATTAGGTACATGAATTAAAAAGTAATGTCTTATGTTATTAATTAAGCAAGGAAGCTAATTCGCCATTTACATTTATTTACATTTATTGTTCTATTCTTGTAAACAGATAAAGAACTAAAGAACAAATTAGAAACAATCTTAAATGAGCATTTTCAATTAAAAACCCAAACTTCTAAACAATGCACATTTAATCAGTTGGATAACTACTGGAGAAAAGCAGACATTGTGGAATTTAACCCTTTAGTTCTGTAATGCTCTCCTGAAGAAAATCCATTTTTCTGAAATTAGTGAGGAAATCATTCGTTGGGAAAAATGACTTTGTAATTCTGTGACTGTCTCAAAGCGGCAGGATTAGAAATTATTGAACTCTTAGTCCTCTAACAAAGAGCGAATGTGAATGAAAAAATAAAAAGCACTTGCAGGAGTTAATTGGTGACAGTGGATTAAGGAATGGAATCCTCTCTAGCAAAAGTTGATTGTTCTTGAAAATGTTCCTGTATTTCAGGTCACTTTCCTCCCACATAGTGACTCCTAATTTACATGATAGGATCAGCCCTGGTATTATTGTTTTGCTTTGTAGATTCACAGCAAGAAAAAGTAGTGAAAGCTGCTGTACTTGTCATTATGCTCTTTTCTTTCTCTAATTTCTCCCATTAACAGTTGTGAAAAAGAACAGACATAATGGTAAGTGGATTCCTGTACATTCAACTGGAACCTACACATAGCCTCTCTCATTAGTGAAGAAAAAAGAATGCTAACACATTTCTTTAAGGATATACTTGCCGTTCATATGTTTACTTGAACAAGCAGCCATGTAGCTATCATAAACAACAGAGTTTTTTGTGAATGGGGTCCATGGAAAAACAAAGTTTCTGATTTATGTTTAAGTTATTCTAAGAGTTACCCTGTAACTTTATGTACACCATTTTCAATTCACAGAGGGCAAGAAATTTTACCTTCCCTTTTGTCCCCCAGCTTTCTGATTTCAGGTTTGATTTTGGAGGAAAAAAAGCAATTCTGGGGCCACAGAAAATAATTCAGAGTTGCCAATACATGTGTTATGTAGAAGTATTTCTGTTTCTAAAAACCATTTTGTTTTGCCCTCCTGCTCAGTACAGACAAATGAACATTGTCCTGCTCTAACTTAATTAATTATATTTTAAACAAAAGCTGAAGATCTCTTACCTGTATGTGATCATGTTTGAATGTATGCTTGATTGTAATTTTCACAGCCTCCTTGAGATCACGGATAGTAGTATTCCCCACACTGCATGCTACCACGTAACTGGTTAAATTGGAAGGAGTTTCTGGATCCTTTAGGATATTAATTTAAAGATTCCATAGGAAAACATTATTTTATAAACCCCCCATAATAGAAACAAGACTTCATAAATTTATTTCTTCACGTTACCAGAACAAATATTGCCAGTACATAATGCTTAACATTACTTGATTATAAGAACATCCTGTTCATTAATTTAAAAGACTTTTTCCTCCCAGAAAGTCTATTTCCCTTACTGCTGCAATGTGTAGTTTTTCAGTCATTCTAAGAAAATGTTTCCCTTTTGACATTTTTTGGGAGGCCAACTGGAGTTAATTCACAAACAATACTGATTGATATCCAATGATATAATTAGATTAGTTCCTAATTAAAGATAGAACAGCTTCCTTTTATTAACAAAACCTGTCTTACAGAAAGGAGATCGTACTTATCTTCAGTTTTACTACTTTATACATTATCCTATCATGAACATCCAAAAGGGACATACAGTTTTCAAATCCTGTACCCCCGCACCCACTTCAAAAATTCAGACGTGTATTCACAAGCTGCCTATCTAAATTATCATTAAATTATCATCCAATTATTTCAATACACCACTTCACATAAGCATGGTTTAAACCTGATTTGCAATCTAAACTAGGACTAAGCAAGGACTATAGTTACCTTCCAAACTTTACTCATTATATCTTTTGATAAAGAGATGGAAAGAAAAAGATCTAGTGGTTTGTTAACACTCATACATAACATAATTAACGTTTAATGCATCAGCAGGGAAGCTATTTCCAGTTTAATGTAGTACTCCCTCAAATAGTATGTTGAGGGGTTTTTTTTTGGTAGATTATATGCTAAAAACTCTTATGAGAGTACATCCAATCTGGGTAAAGCCATCTGTTTCCTTTCCATTTATGCACAACACATACCAAAACATGGTACTATACTTTGTAAATCTAATGGGACAGGGAAGCAAACATCTCAGTTTTTGTACCAATACCTACTTTTTAGTTCTCCCCTAGGCCTGACAGGGAGAAACTTTGAAGATAATTTAGTTCGTGTCAAACTAGGACAGTTCAAAAGACCAGAAAATCTTTACCTGCCTTCTCCCTTTGAAGCTTAATAACATTCTCTAATTATGTGTCATTAGGATGATGTCATAACACAGTTCCAATTATTGTATGCCTTTGATTTTCCTGTTCACTGTAAATTTCTTTGTTGTAAAGGCATTTTTTGAAAATGTAGACTAAGAACTCTACATATTAAAAGCCAATGGTTGGTCATGGTGATTGATCAAATTATATTATCTTTAATTATTAGGTACTGTTCTGATAAAAAAAACAACCCTGTGATATATTCCAGCACAATGCAGATAATCTGTAGATCACTAGAAATGAATTGTAGGAAACAAACTCTTGACAAACAAAGTTTCTTTCTGGAATTCTGCTTTAGTATAATATAAAACATAGTTTTCTAAAACACAGGACCTCTTATAGGAGAAAGAAGTGGCAGACTCAAGATGGTTCTGAGAAGAATGAAGAGCTGATGTGTAGACAAAGAGAGAACAGGGCATCATCCACAAATGGTCCAGAGAGTTGCTCCTCACCAGGAGACCACAAAAGAGTGGTCCCTTGTAGGTTTAGAGCTCTGGGAAACAAGGGAGTAGCCATCTTGTTCAAACCATGGCCAGCAACTTTAAAAGGACACAAAATACCCATATTTCCTTTCCTAATCACATTTGGAAATTACTTATCAATTACTTTTCAGCTGTTACAAACTTCTGGAATCTGAAAACACCGGGTGAGTCTACCTTAAAGTCTTAACAAAAGAAACTTTAAAAAAAATTGAAATTAAAACTAATTAAAACTTTGATTTTAGAAAGTGATCAACTGATAAAGGGTCCACATAAATTTGAAATAAGGTTTTGGATTTAATTATGAATTGAACTGTTTTGAATTTTTATAAAACACATAAGATTTTAAAAATTGGACACTAGAGGAAACTAAAGGTTTATGTTAAAGGAGAAAAACACATAAACTTGATTAACAGTTACAGAATGGTACAAAATATTCCAGCACTGGAAATATTGAAAGACAATTTTGAAAAATGGCGTTAAAAGTTAATATTAACAATGTCAATAGCATTATCTGCCTCTATAGATAGACTGTGTCTAAATGTTGTTATACAAATTTTACTTGACGAGAAAGAGCCTCAGTTAAAGGTCGATTTACAAATGACAGGCTATGAAAATTATATGAAAAAGGATGATACACTGGACATATAGTAGAAAAGAAAAAGATGTTTCAATAGTTTAAAAGGATATACAAAAAAATCAAGATAATGACTGGGATTATTTTTTATACATTACAAATGGGATGTTAAAACTTTGAATAATCTTGTGAGAAGGGATAAAGAAATAAAAAGATATCAAGCTCTATGACATTATTTCAATGGACTAAAATTAAGATTTGTTAGAGCAACTTTATATTCTTTCCTTTTACTTCATTTTGATCAAAGTTAATTGATCTGTTGTTATTTTTGGCAACCCTTAATGATTGTAATGATGAAGTTTTGTTTATGGATACGAGATGGATATGGAAGAAAATTTAATTTAATTGTAATTTAGTTTAATTGTAATTTAATTGTAACTTCTCACCTTTAATTGTAATAAAGGTGAGAAGTTACCAAAATTGTTTATACGTCTTATGGAGAAAATTGGAAGTCATTTCTTTATATATTTTTCTTTATTCTTACTTTTCTTTTTCTTTCTAATCTTTATATCTTTTTTCTTTTCTCTTTGCACCTTTTACTCTTTCTTTTTTAACCTTTCTTTTCATTTGCATTCGCTTTACTATTGTAATTGTAATCTTTAATAAAACTATTTGAACAAACAAGAAAGGAGATTAGGCATTATTATTGTACCTATCCAATCTTGTACTTATGAACAAATACTGACATTTAAACTGAGTTTAGTAGCACCAGAATTCTATTTTGAACAAAACAGATTATATTTCAATCCCATGTATCACTCAGGATTTATTTCTATTGGACATGGACAATCTATTGTATGAATATGCTGTTGACTGCATATATTCTTTATAAAATCTTAAGGCAGATTAATATTACCTATTATTTGAACATTTTACCCAAATTAAATGTAAATGCTTATTTATGAAGACATTTCTATCTTGCCTTTCAGGCATATTGCACCATAAGAAAGCATGCAAAAACAAAACAAAACACCAGTAAAATTAATCAAACAGAGTGGAATAATAATGTTTTCAAAATTCTTTTAAAAACCAGAAATAAAGAGGCCCATATGTATTTCACTGAGTAATACATTCCAAGACTATTCGACATGAAAAGCAGGATCTCTTTAGTAGATCACAGAACTCAAGAAAGCTCATAAAGATAATGCCTGCATATCAAGGAAATATTTACATTTTCTTTTTAAATCCTGCAGTTCTTGTATTCTTTAGCTTCCTCTCCTGTAACTGTGCATTTTATAAGTTTATTTAAACTTACCAAATAAATTATCAAGACTTGTTTTTTAAATACCAAGGTTAAAAATAATATTTTTTTTTCTTTTAATGACCCTGCAATCCGTTGCTTGGGGATGGGGTCAATGCAACTGACTGGAGCTAAACGTTTACTGGCTGGATGCTCTTCCCGACATCTACGCAGAGTTCACAGCAGACAATTACTCATTGCGCCCAGAAAGAGAAATATCTGCCGCTACCTAGTATCGAACTCACAGCCTACTGACTCTGAGGTGAGAGCTCCACCTCTAGATCACTAGGCCACTCAAGGTTAAAAAGAAGAATAAACCAACAAAAATTAAAGCAATGGAAAGAAAAAGAGCCACTATTGATATTTTTAAAAAACTACCCATTAATTTCATCATGTAATTCACTTCACATCTAAATTGGCCTTTACAGTAGAAAGGTCTTTTACTACATTTGCCAATCACAGAAAGAATCTTCAAAAGGTTTTATCAGATAATGAGCACATAGACGTAAAATGAATGTCATCCTGCTATTCCTCTCTCTAAATATATACATAGGGTCATAAAAACAGTACCATCTCACCAAAATTACCAAGATAAATTTCAGTATTGCTATGTTCTTTACGTAACCATTAAACATATTGATGCCTACCTGGAAGAGTCCATTTTTATTGAAAAAAGTGAATTGAACCCTGGATATTGCTTCAAGATCTTCTTGACTTAAATTATTTAGCAAACTTGGAGGCAAAGAAACAGTAGCAAGAGAATTTTCTTGGTTTTGATCAAAATCAATCTAAAACAGAAAAATGACAAAAAAAAACTATCAAAATAAAAATCGAAACTATTTACCATGTTGCATGAGGGAATATACTGGTATTATTTGATTCCTAATTATTTAGTTAATAATAAGTTTTAGCCCTTCTTCAGCATTATGAAAATCAATATTTATTTTGTTTCAGTTTATAAGATTATGTCCTTGTAAAGAAAATTTTAAAATCTTCTCTATTAAACATAAATATCAATTTAATATTGTTTATTTTTAAAAATCAACATTAATGTTAATTTATTGAAAAATATTTTCATTTAGAAGTTGATATAATTCATGTTCTACAAGATCAACTTATCATTTTTTCAAAGCTATTGTTTACCTAATTTAACAGGTGGATAATAGTGCTAAATATATTTTGGTTTGCATTGACTGAGAAGTAAATAATTAAGAGAGTCCCTCCCAGTGAACCAACAATTAATATTTGCAATAAGTCCTTGAGCCTACCCTAACAAGCTGCTCAACTCATAAATCTTAATAGATTAGACTACTTTCAGCATGGGCCAGATATAATGTTTACCACAGAATAGTACTAGTTTTCAAATTCTAATATCTTGTCTCAGTCCTTTTATTTAACTTGCTGTTGAATGTTGAAGGAACAGTATATACAACACAACAATACTGCATAAACTAGCTCAAACCCCTTATCGGATAGGACATAGCCCCAAAGCCTTAAATCAGAGATGGATCATATTCTTCAACCTAGAAACAGATACTGCTTACGTTTCTTGCTGGGAACCACAGAGACGGTGGCCCACAATGCCATATAACATCTTCAGAGAGACTAAGACTAAATTGTTGAGGCTTTATGATGCACACTGTTAAGGCCAAAATGTAACCTCCCCATGTCAGTTGCATTCACTATCAAACCCATGAGGTTCCCCTCCTGTAACTACTTAAAATGTCCTTGTAGGAAAACATTCCCAGAAAGCTGAATTGACCCTGGGTGGTGGCAGGGAGAAGAATCAGTCAGGAACCTGTGGCCCAGTAAACCAAATTGTTTCTATTCACTGACCATATCTCAAAGATAGTATGGGTAGCATGCTGACCTAGTAGAATGGGATAAATAATAAGATCACATGGATGGATTTATCTAAAACATTCCACACTGTGTTTGTCATTTTCTTTGTCTTTGCTATGTAGTGGGCCAAAGATATACAAGCTCTGGTTCTGCTTTTGCTCACGCTTGTTCAGCAGAGAGTCAATGCTTTGTTGGGAGCCCAGTATATATTGTTGCATGTAAATAAAATTACATTGTGTCTTCAGTATGATTTGGTTGCTTTAGGTGAGTCATGTTTTGACCATAACAATATTTAAGGGCTTAAAGAACTCATTTGCCCTTAAACATCCCATGGGGAAAAAAAATCTAACAGGTATTTTTTGGGGATGAAAGATGGCAGCAATTTTTAAGGAGTAAAATAGGTGCTTTACCTTGCAAGACATCTTTTTAGCTTTTAAAAGCCTCCCAAACTCTCCTTCTTACAAACATCTGGTCCCAGTCACTCTAGGGAGTGTTGGAAGCTACAAATGGAGTGGTAAGCGCATTTGGATTACATAGTATGCGTTGCTCATCCCTGCCTTGAATTGACTAATTTGGCATAAATCACTGAATTAATCAGTTACATTCCTGTCAACGTATCTTGCTTGAAAATAACCCTGAATGGTTTATACAGTATGCAAATGTTTTTGATATACCTGAAAATCTGAAGCATTGTTCTGGGGACCAACACTGAAGGAAGAGCCATTGAATAAAGATGAATTCAAGGATGAAACTCCAAGTGCTATGTTTCGGGTTGAGATGTTCATGGAGGGACCTGTAAACTGAATCTTCAATGCCAAGGCATCAATTGTCTTTATAGCTCTAAATTCAAGCATACGTATCAAATTCATTAAAATAATGAGATTAAAAGCACTTTGAGTCTAAAGAACCTTTGCATGCATTAGTAGGTATTATTTTTGGCACAGATTTACCTAACTATAAAAAAATCCCCATAACTACAAAATATTCAGATATTTGTGAGCAAATTCTACTCAAGTACAGTATGTCCCAAATGAAGGGAAAGAGAACAAAAGTTGTATGCCGATCATCTTCTTTCTTTGCTCTATCCTTTTTTTTCCTGCTGGAGAAGGAAAATGTTGCTTTTATCTCTTAGAATGGTGGTATTTTGAACATTTTTTTAAAAATATAGAATAGATTATGATGTTCCTTGTTTTTAAGGCCTCTTTTTTAAAAAATTTTTGCTCATAGTGATGGGGAAACAATAACTGATAGATACTGGAAAGATAGCCAGGGCTCTTGATAGTTGTTGCCACCACAATACAATTATAGCTACTCACAAAACCAGTTGTATCCCATCTATTAGCATGGGCAGAATGGGAGAGAATTTGTAAAAGCTTTATTGGGCACTATAATTTCTATTCTACCACCAAGCTGGGAGCTATGATTAAGCCAAACAAATGCATCTCTTTTCTGGGCATCTGTTCCTTTGGATTACATTTGCAGTTAAGAGTTAATTGATGTTACTTGAACGAATGTGTTACAGTAATTTGATTCAAAGAAACACTTTTTTGCTTGTATCTAATCTAGTGAATGTTTATTAGTGTCACTAGTACATCCTGTCACCTTTTATCTACCTTTCACTATGACTTCTTTTAACAGCTATGATACTAGACGAAAACTGGTTTAATATCAAAATAGCAGATTTGCTATCAAGCCCATGAACGGAGATGCTAAGGTACTTAAAATTGGGCTTCATTTCTTTAATGATTTGAATAATTCACTTGAGGAGTTAATTATAAAATGCAGATAAAGTTTCACATGGTTTGTATGTCCTTCATGGACTACCAATATATAAACATTTTTTAAAAACTCTGCATAACCCTCTGATCCTCTTCCAGTAACACTTACTCGGAAGATGATGCAGCCAATACATTATCAGAACTAGTTAAAATATTAGAAAATATTGTCATCACAGTAGAACCCAAAGATTCATTGATTTCTTCATCATTCACAATTTTTTTTAGTTTCTGGATCACATCGTTGACTTTGTCTGAAGTCAACTGCTGCCCTTCTCCTGTAAGATTCAGTAGCTGATTGGCTATGTCAGCAGCATTTTCTGAAAGCACACAAAGAAAGCAATATATACCGGTTAGTCCCAGAAAATGTTCCTTTGCAATTATAGCAAGTTTTTCGAGGATCAGGGTGTGTATGTACTTAGTGTGTACTGCTGTAGTAGAGCTTCCAGAGTGCCATTAAAAATGGAGATTGGAGATGGCTTTGGACAGTTTGCTCGGTGTTGTTTGCCTGTGTTTGATTGTTTCTTTCATTCTTTGGATTTTGGAATTCGTTTGTTCTACCTATCAGCTATAAAGCTAGCATGATTTGGTGTTGGTGTTGGTTTTGTATTGTGTTATAAAGTTCTATCATCCACTGCTTATGGGACTGCTGCATAATGTACATGGTAGCTGAAATATCTAAGGAGAGAGATTAGTTTATTAGCGTTAATATGCTAAATCAGGGGTCCCCAACCCCCGGTCCTTGGACCAGTATCGTGCTGTGGCATGCATGATGGGAGTCTAGTCCTAGTCAGTGGGACTGCCACCTAAATTATTCATGTGGTGCTATGGTAATAAACAATGGAGTGAGAGGATTTTTGCCAAGTTCCCATGGCCAAATGCTAAAAATATTCTGATTTTTGTTCAGTAGGAATAAAAAAAACTCAACCTGATAGAATATTCTGAGTAGAATTTAAATATTTATGCTATATAAACATATGTTGTTTGCTGTATATATCTAAAATAAACATGGATTGTGCTTTAGAGTCTAACAAAACGGCATAATTCTTCAGTAAAGCATTAAAGAATTTTATATTAGTGACTAATATCTAAAAACTTTTCTTGGTGAGACCCAGAGGTGTTTGAAGCTTGGAAAAGAAATATTTCAAATGGATGGAGCAGATACACAAATACACAAATAGATGGGGCAGATACACAAACCCTTACCTGTGCAGTTTCTAAGATCAGGAATACCCCAATGAGATGTATAATTTTTCAGGTTTAGAAAGCTAAGATAGAACAGAAAACATTAGCAATCAATATATGGATGTTCTTATGAAATCACATAGTCCTTCTGTGTTATTTTAAATCCTTTGTATCTTTTACTTCTTTACTTTTAAAAACCTATATCTGTCACTTTTTAATTATATCCGTAGTATACTTCATCTCAGTATCACCACTAAGCATCTCATGATCTCTGAGTGGTTACCATGTTCGTGATGCAATTTGGGTAGAGCTGTCATAGCAGATAGTGGTGGCAGTCTCTTCTGGTCTGGTTTCTCTCCAAAAGTAATTTAGAGGCTGTTCCTGAGCCTCACATTTTTCTACAAGAGCAAATGAAAAGCAGTGAACCAACCAACCAACCAAATGAACAAAAAACAACCATTAGAGATAAGATAACCTTTATTGTCATTTTTTGTACTGTGGGCACAAAGGCACACATCAAAAATGAAATTTAGTTGCCCGTTCTCAAAGTGAAACACATACATGACACACACCTAAACATACTATGAACAACATATGTATAGACCCACATCCCTACATATACGTAGCAAATAAATATTAAATATTTATATTTATTTAAATATTTAACACTGTAGCTTCCTAGTAAAAGTTGTTAGACTGGTCTGAATGAGTCAGGTTTAATTTTAGACCAAGTTATTTTTACTTACAAATACCTAATGGGATGAGCATTTATGAAACAAAATGTACATCACTGAATACAAATGTATTTTCCAATTAGAGACAAAAATCATCTAGAACCAGAGAGAAATTAGTATCTGTGGTGTTTTTTTTAAAATCTATACATTTTAAACTAATTTATAATATGATAATCGTAACAAATCAGGAATGTGTGGATCAGGACTGAACACCAAATGATTCCAAATGTCCTTGGATCTGAATTGATGGCTTGCAATGTGGTATTCAAAGCTCACTATGCTGCTCAGCCCTATTGTCTCTAAGTTAGGGTATTGCTCAGGTAATGGCCCATTTCTAGTCAAACTAACTCTGATCTGGCTTTGCCCGAATTCCATTACTATTTTGCAGTACTATTCTAGGGCCATTGTCCCAGATGTTAATTCCTTCCCAGATCAGCCACCAAATCCTTTGCATAACGTCCTTGCTTCTTGTGGCATGGGTCATAAGGCACAAGGTACTGAGAATAAAGGTTCAGCACAAAAGTATACAGAACTTTTCTCAATCATAAATAGTTTTTACTCATTCTGTTAATCTGTGAGGAAACAAGTGCAAATGGCTTCAAGAAGCCTCAGTTTCCCCATTATTTTGTTTCTGCTGTACCATTTTTACCAGGGCCAAGTTAAAGGTGAACTTGAAGAACATCCGTGAACTGCATGCTTTGAAAATAATATGGAAAAAGTGTTTTGGATTTCAGACCAGTACAATCAATCTTCTGATATTCATTGAAGCATTAAAGGTGTATGTTTTCAATATAATTCTTAATATAATGGCATTTTTTCAGACTCACAAAGGAAACTGAAAAATGACAATAATGAATGAATGAACAGCAGAGAGGTGCTGTGCTTGCAGTTGTTATACTGTAGATCAGGGGTGTCAAACTCAATTTCATTGAGGGCCGCATCAGCATTGCGGTTGCCCTCAGGGGGCCGGGTGGATGTGGCCAGGGTGGGTGCGGCCTACTGGGTGGGCATGGATGGAGTGTGGCCTGCTGGGTGGATGTGGCCAGCTCTACATCGTTCACGTCAAGGGTGCCTGTGGGGGCCTGGGCAGGAGTGGGATAGATCTGAGGATCTCTGGCAGAAGGGGGTGGGACCAGGGCAAGTGCCAAGGCATGGTCCACTGGAGGAGCCTCTCAGGCCATGCAGGGGGGAGGCTTATGGAGCTAAGACTGAATGCGTTTCAGCATAGATGGCCACCACAAAATTGTACATTGGTTCCTGGCCGGCCTGGGCCAGGGCCAAGGCAGCGGGGGCCGTTTCCTCACTGTTTCCAGGATAGCTTTGCGGGCCACATGAAACCACTTTGCGGGCCACATCCGGCCCCCGGGCCTTGTGTTTGACATGTCTGCTGTAGATTATTTTCAAACCATGAACAGAACTATTAAACTATTAAATTAATTTTGATTTCTCATCTGTTGCAACTGACTTTACTATTTTAATGTCTTCTGCTTATTTGGTCAATGTAGAATAGTTAATTCCTGTATTTATTTATTTATTTATTTATTTAATTAATTTAATTTATATGCCGCCCTTCTCCCACAGGGACTCAGGGCGGCGCACAACATATTTAAAACCATTAACATATATGCAATCCCCCCCTTAAAACCGAATTAAACCGAATTTTACTGTTGCGTCTTCCGAATATTTAAAACCCAATATAAAATCCACCCTAGGTCAGGTCCGCTTGCTGAAAGAGCCATGTCTTGANCGTATCAAATTCATTAAAATAATGAGATTAAAAGCACTTTGAGTCTAAAGAACCTTTGCATGCATTAGTAGGTATTATTTTTGGCACAGATTTACCTAACTATAAAAAAATCCCCATAACTACAAAATATTCAGATATTTGTGAGCAAATTCTACTCAAGTACAGTATGTCCCAAATGAAGGGAAAGAGAACAAAAGTTATATGCCGATCATCTTCTTTCTTTGCTCTATCCTTTTTTTCCTGCTGGAGAAGGAAAATGTTGCTTTTATCTCTTAGAATGGTGATATTTTGAACATTTTAAAAAAAATATAGAATAGATTATGATGTTTCTTGTTTTTAAGGCCTCTTTTTTTAAAATTTTGCTCATAGTGATGGGGAAACAATAATTGATAGATACTGGAAAGATAGCCAGGGCTCTTGATAGTTGTTGCCACCACAATACAATTATAGCTACTCACAAAACCAGTTGTATCCCATCTATTAGCATGGGCAGAATGGGAGAGAATTTGTAAAAGCTTTATTGGGCACTATAATTTCTATTCTACCACCAAGCTGGGAGCTATGATTAAGCCAAACAAATGCATCTCTTTTCTGGGCATCTGTTCCTTTGGATTACATTTGCAGTTAAGAGTTAATTGATGTTACTTGAACGAATGTGTTACAGTAATTTGATTCAAAGAAACACTTTTTTGCTTGTATCTAATCTAGTGAATGTTTATTAGTGTCACTAGTACATCCTGTCACCTTTTATCTACCTTTCACTATGACTTCTTTTAACAGCTATGATCCTAGACGAAAACTGGTTTAATATCAAAATAGCAGATTTGCTATCAAGCCCATGAACGGAGATGCTAAGGTACTTAAAATTGGGCTTCATTTCTTTAATGATTTGAATAATTCACTTGAGGAGTTAATTATAAAATGCAGATAAAGTTTCACATGGTTTGTATGTCCTTCATGGACTACCAATATATAAACATTTTTTAAAAACTCTGCATAACCCTCTGATCCTCTTCCAGTAACACTTACTCGGAAGATGATGCAGCCAATACATTATCAGAACTAGTTAAAATATTAGAAAATATTGTCATCACAGTAGAACCCAAAGATTCATTGATTTCTTCATCATTCACAATTTTTTTTAATTTCTGGATCACATCGTTGACTTTGTCTGAAGTCAACTGCTGCCCTTCTCCTGTAAGATTCAGTAGCTGATTGGCTATGTCAGCAGCATTTTCTGAAAGCACACAAAGAAAGCAATATATACCGGTTAGTCCCAGAAAACGTTCCTTTGCAATTATAGCAAGTTTATCGAGGATCAGGGTGTGTATGTACTTATTTATTTATTTATTTATTAATTATTTAAATTTCTACCCCGCCCTTCTCCCTGCGGACTCAGGGCGGCTTACAGCCTTTTTAAAAACAAGTACATAACTACAAAAATACTAACGTTAAAAAGTTAATTAAAATAAAATATTATTATAAGGCCTTTATAATTTAATTAATTTTTTTAAAAAAAAATTATTATAAAACCAAGTTAAAAATAACCCTTAGGCCAGTCCTGCCAGTTTAAATAGCCATGTCTTGAGGGCGCGGTGGAAGGAGGGGAGATCCGGAATCACCCGGATCTCTGGGGGTAGTTCGTTCCATAGGGTGGGAGCTCCAACCGAGAAGGCCCTCCTCCTGGGGGTCGCCAGCCGGCACTGTCTGGCTGACGGCACCCTGAGGAGGCCCTCTCTGTGGGAGCGTATCGGCCGGTGGGGGGTAATCTGAGGCAGAAGGCGGTCTCGGAGATA